TGTGGGTACCTAGTTTCAGTATCTCCTAAGGTTCAACTTACGTAATAAACAGGAAACTACGTACCTTGCTCTTCTCAAACTAGTACACCACTTACCGCTATTTGGATATAGCCAAGTACAACTTCTCTTCTGCCTTCAGAGTGTGGAGCAGAGGCGAGCTTGATAAGTATCGCTTCAATTCCTCCAGTGCTTGCTGACATTCCAGGGTCCATGCGAAATTATTTTTCTTTTTGAGTAAAGAAAAGAACCTATGGCTTCGATCTGATGACCTCAAGATGAATCGCCCTAAGGCAGCTATCCGTCCGATTAGCCTTTGCACGACTTTCACACTATCTACGATCACTATATCCTCGATGGCCTTAATCTTATCGGGGTTGATTTTGATTCCATGATTTGATACCATGAAGCCGAGAAATTTTCCCGAGCCGACCCCGAAGGCACATTTTTTAGGGTTAAGTTTCATGTTGTACTTCCTCAAAATTTCGAATGTCTCCTGCAAATGAGTCAAATGGTCCTCTGCGTGCAAGGACTTAACTAGCATGTCATCAAGCTAAACTTCCATTGACTTACCTATTTGTTCTTCGAACATCTTATTTACTAGGCGTTGGTAACTAGCTCATGCGTCTTTAGCCAAAGGGCGTTACATTGTAACAGTATGTTCCAAACTTAGTGATAAACGAGGTCTTCTCCTGGTCCTCCGGGTTCATCTGAATTTTATTGTACCCGGAGTAGTTGTCGAGAAAGGTAAGGATCTTGTGGACGGCCATGGCATCGATCAAGCTATCGATTTTATGTAGTGGAAAAGAGTCTTTAGGGCATGCCTTGTTTAAATCCTTGTAATCTACACACATTCTAAGTTTGTTCCTTTTTTTAGAGACTAAAACTATATTTACTAACCACTCATGATGTTTTATCTCCCGAATGGATCCTATTTTAAGAAGGTTAGTACCTCATCCTTTGTGAATGTATGCTTCACCTCGGACTGGGGCCTTCTCTTTTGCTTTACTAGTATGAATTTTGGGTCGAGGCTTAGCCGATGAGTTGTTATTTCCGATGGGATCTTTGTCGTGGCTAAATGGGACCAAGCAAAATAATCCATGTTATCGATAAAAAATTAAATAAGTTTTTTCCAGAGTTCAAGGGTCATCCTCGTTCCTAGTTATACCTTTCGCTCGAGCATATACTCGATCAGTATGACCTGCTCTAGCTCATCGACTGTTGACTTTGTTGCATCTGACACTTCAGGAATAATGAAAGTTTGAGGAGTAAGGAAATCCTTTTCTTCTTCTTCGATTACCTGATTCTCCGATTTGGTCAAGGCTGGGGACGATGATTACTATTTGGCTATCTGCTTATCTTTGGTGCTCGATTTTTTCGAGGTGGAAAGTGCTGATATCGACGTCACCTCATCGACTACAAATATTTCCTTTGGTGCGTGTTGTTCCCCGTAAACTATTTTCACACCATCCATTATTGGGAACTTCATCATTTGATGAAGGGTCGACGGTACTGCCCTCATGTTATGGATCCATGGCCTCCCGAGTAGTGCATTATATCTTATGTCGCCTTCGATGACATGGAATATTGTATCTTGGATGGTACTGTCCACGTTCATTGGTAGGATTATCTCCCCTTTGTTGTTTTACTTGCCATGTTGAAGCCGTTTAGGACTTGAGATGCAGGTACAATTTGGTTCTGCAGGCCGAGCTGCTCTACGACCCTTGATCTGATTATGTTTGCCTAGCTACCTAGATCTACTAGAATATGTTTAACTTGAATTTTATTTAACAAAATAGAAATTACCAGGGCGTCATTGTGCGGTTGAGAAATGCCTTCCACTTCCTCGTCATTGAACGATAGGATGCCCTCGGGCATATAATTCCGAGTCTGATTTTCTCTCGTAATCGACACCTTGGTACGTTTTAATATAGGCCCTTGTGGAACATCAACCCCACCAACGATCATATGAATTACATTGGCTCTTCCTACTCATTCTTTCTGTTGGCATCGCTTTATCTGAAGTGATTCTTAGCTCGATCACTGAGAGTGTCTCGAAGATGACCCTTGTTGAACAATCAAGCTACCTCCTCTCTCAGTTGTCTGCATTCTTCGGTCCTATGGCCATGCGTTCCATGATATTTACACATCAATTTTGGATTTCTTTGAGAAGGATCGATTTGTATAGGTCTGGGCCACCTGGTGTCTTTGATCCTTCTAATAGCCAATATGATCCCCGATGCATCGACACTAAATTATACTGCGATAACCGAGGTGCTTCTGAGGGATCGGTATGATTATCAAAACCATTCTTACTCATAAGTCCCCGAGAATTTTGCCTTCGATCATTTCTTCGATCATTCCGAGGAGCATTGCGCCCCGAACCGTTATTTCTTCGATCCGCGACATATGGCTGATACCGTTCTCTATTTGATCTTGGTTCCTTGTCGGTATTCCTTGGGGCCTTAACTGCCAATCTATTTGGATGAACTGAACCCGAGGGGGATCTCAACTGGTCGTCCTCGACCCTGATCTTCGATTGGTAACGATTATGTATATCTGCCTAAGTTACAGCTGGATACTCGATGAGATTTTGCTTCAACTGTCGTGACGCGATTGAACTCTGCTCGTTCAACCCCTGTATAAAATCTTTCATGGCCCAATCATCTAAGATACGTGGTAATTCCATTCGTTCAGTTTGAAATTGGGATACGAACTCCCTTAGCATTTCAGCACCCCTCTGTCTTATCTTAAAAATGTCTGATTTCCTTGTCGTAACCTTTATGGCCAGGCGTGTGCCTTCACGAAGGCATCTGCTAACATAGCAAACAAATCGCTAGAATTCAGTGGCAAGTTGTGATACCAAATCATTGCTCCCTTTGACAAAGTTTCCCCAAAATTTTTCAACAAAACCGACTCGATCTCATCATCATTTAAGTCGTTTCCTTTATTCCCATGTACGAGGTGATGTGTTCATTAGGATCGCTTGCCCCATTGTATTTAGGTATATCGGGCATACGGAACTTTTTAGGAATGGGCTTCGGAGCCGCATTCTGAGGAAACGGCTTCTGTACGAACCTTTTGGCATCCAAACCTTTTAAGACCGAAGGTGCCCCCAGTATTTGATCAACACGGGAGTTATATGTCTCCACTTTCTTGTCATTATCTTCGATCTTTTTCTCTCCCGACTCGATTCTTTTGGTGAGCTCCTCAAGCATCTTCATGATCGTAGGATCAGTCCCTGATCCATTACCGCTCGATCTTTCTGGCACCTGCTCAGTACGACGAGTGATTTCTGGTTCGACCACATTTGGAGTTTTATGCTGACTTTGAAATTGAGCGATAGCAACCTGTTGAGCTTGTAGCACCTCGAATATTACTTGGAGGCTAACTCCCCCATATGTTATACCTTGTGTTCCTTGGCCACCAGATCGGACTTCCCTGCGTATACTTCCTCCGGGGTCTGCACCTAAGTCCGCATTCAAAGCAATGCGTGAACTAACATCGACTGGTTCTACAATCGGCACCTCCACATGGTTAATCAGTGGTACACCGGCTCCCGGAGCAACTACATTATTGTTTTCCCCGTGAAATCCAAGACCATCATCAACATGTACGGGTGCGTTTTGTGAGTTTGACATGTTTTAACCTGAGGAAAAAAAATCTTGACAAGAATAAGTATTAATATAATGTGTGTTATCGGAATCAGTACTGAAGTAATTACTATTATCTTTAGCCCCACTGTGGGTGCCAAACTGTTTACCCTAAAATTCGAGTAACAATTAAACTTATTTTGTGGTTTTAAAGATATGTGATTTAATCCAATACTAATTGATAAACAAGGAATCTAATGTGTAAATTTAAGAGTAAGGCAAGTCAAACCAATCGTGTAAGCAGACCTCGACCTCGAGGTAAATGAACAAGAGCAACAAGAACAATAAAATAATAATAAGACGATTCAGATGAACAGTAGACAAGAAAGTGAAAATGTATATTCTCTTCTCAATGATTGATGATCTGTTACAAATGATTGGGGTCCCCTTTATATAGTAGGGGAATCCTAAATAAGGTACAATTCTAATTGTAGTAGGGAATCTTATTATACAAGTGGCTAACCGCTAGTACAAATCCATTCTAGAATTTACGCCGTGATCTTAGGGCCACCGCAGGAATCTCGCTCTTTCTGTTATAAAACCATAACGGTATTATCTCGAGGTTGGTTGTACTCGGCCCCAGTGTTCATCGAGCACTCCAATTTTCGATTATAGTATTCTGCCATCGGACTCGAGTCCGGTCCATATTGAACTTGTTTCTCGATGCGACCCCACGAGCCTACAAAATTGGGGACACATGATTTTATCGTGTACACCAATCATAATAAATGGTCCTTAGGTCTAACTCAATCCCAAAAGTTATCTCATGATAAATAATTGCTCAAGACGATATAAGGAGACCAAAGACCCATTAATCCACCAATGTGGGACAACTCAACAAATGCATTAGGGTAATTGAATGAAGTCAATAAGAAAAATTCTATTACAAGCTGTGGTCAATGCATTAAGGAGGAGACGTGAAGTCTACTGAATCACTGCATTAATAATTTCGTTATATCAACCAAAATTTGTACTTCTACAATAAAGAAATGATCGAGTTACATTGAGCCTTGGACAAATAACTCTCTATATATCCACCTCAATGAAACAACTACATCAGGTTTTTCTAACACGGAGAAAGAACAACTCCAAAAAAGAAAAAAAATTGTGGAGAAATAGTGGCTCTGCATACATAAATATATATTGTCTAATATCTTTGTTATTAGTTGATACCCCAGGGGGACTTTAAAAACCAAAATGGAGTCATGAAGCTTTACTTACTGAATCGCTTCCCAACAGTCTGTTCCGGGTTCATTTAGATATAATTATAAATTATGTTTCAGAAAAGATCTGGCATAGTTTTATATGAATCGATACTGCCAGGAGATAGAGTCAAAACTGAAGTATGTCTTTATGATTCAACCAAAGAGCATATAATTTATTGACTTCACAACAACGATTTGAAGGATTAGTTTTTCAACTTCACCCTTCCTTTTATGGGAATACAATTCGAGATGAAAAATTTCAAGATACTTATTCTTAGTTACCCAATATTGTGTTATTTGCATGAAAGGAGAACTCATGAAATTATTGTATAGGATCAACATTAGTACTTTAAGCCTTAACTAAACTATCTGGGTGATAAACAACCACCAAATACTTATAGGAGACTCTATAGCTGCTGCGATTACTATGAACTACGTATTATGAAATGAAGGTCTAGAATACTTGCTAGTTAGTAAAGTGATCTCTATATCCAAATTGCATTAGCTTTAAGAAGCAAATTCTTGAGCTTGCCTCTAACATTAAGACTCATAATCTCATTAGAACCACCAACAAAATCTTTCCCAATGAAAACTGCTGGCACACTTAGTTGACATCCTAATTCAATCAATGCGTTCTCCATTTGCCTCCCATTTGGAAGTTTATCGAGCTCGTAAACTGTAGGGTTTGCTCCAAAACCTCGGATTAGGGTTTCGATACTGTGAGACATGCAACAAGTGGTTTTGCTGAAAATTACCACTGGACTTTCTGCTCCCAACTTCATCACCATATCCATCTTTAGACCTTAAAAGAGAAGTTATATGGTTTTTTTTTTTTTTTTTTTTTTTTTTTTTTTTTTTTTTTTTTTTTTTTGAAGAAGAAGTGTAACTGAAATTAAAGAAAATTGTGAAGGCTAGTAGAGAGAAAAGCTGTTTGTATTGAGTTTGAGGGTTTAATGTTATGAGAAACCTGAAGTTGTAGAAAGGCTATATATATAAGGCTTAAAGTGGTGCATGGGATCAAAATGAACAGAAAAAGAGATTACAACATTCCAAAAGGTACAAGTCGGTGGATGTGCAAATTATTCCTTGATCATCATGTATTTTTCAAAAAGGAACAATTCCTCTTCTCTAACACTACTAGAGATTTGGTAATTAGCGACCCAAAAAAGTGACCAACGTTGGTCGGTTTAGGCAAATTACCGACCAAAACTCGTCCAAACACGCTTGATCACTATTTTGATGGCCGTTTTAGTATACCGACCAAGGTTGGTCGCTAATTACGGACCGAGATTGGTCACTAAGGTAAAAGGACCAACTGTGCAATTTAAACCACATACCGACCAACTTTGTTGGTAACAATATTTTAATAATTTAATTTTACTGACCAAAGTTGCTCGGTATTTAAATTACGTTATGTTATTAATTATTAAAATTTAAAAATTAGTGAATAAAGTTGGTCGGTAAAGTAAAATATATATTTTTTTAAAAAAATAAAATTTAACCATACTGACCAAAGTTGGTTGCTAAAGTTGAAATCTGGGTAATCCCAATAACCGACCAACTTTGGTCGGTAATTTTTAATTTTTAATTTTTTTTTAAACTTAAGCGACCAAGGTTGGTCGCTAATCAACAGAATTATTTTTTTAATTAGGAACCGTCCAACTTTGCTCGGTTTTCTGGGTTTTAATTTTGGCATAAAATGCATATTTTGGCAGCTACACCACCTGCCAGCATACCAAAATTCCTAAACAACAACAATAACGACACAATTCAATAAATACATTAAAACTAACAAATTAAAGTTCAATAGAACTAAAAATTCCAAAATCAAGTTAAAACTTATTACAACTAATTCAAAACCTGTTCTATTTGTCTAGTTCAAAGTATATAAAAGTCAAGGAGTGTTTTGTCCAACATCATTATCACCATCTGATGAACTTTCATCTAAATGACAGTGTCGAGAAGGGTCTTGTGGAGGACGGGAAGAACGACCACAAGGAGGACAGGAGGAACGATCACGGGGAGGACGGGAGGAATGATCAAGGGGAGGACGGAAGGAACACTCACGTTCAAGTCAAGCCTCTGGCGATGACTCACGAGACCGGGGCAACGAAAAAGCTCCAGTAGATAGAAGAGTTCTGATCTGAGCTTGCATGCCAAAGAACTGAGCATCTCTAACCCTTTCTCTTTCCTTGGCCGCTTCTAGCTCGGATGTGAGCTTTGTTACAGTCTCCTGCATAGCAGAGAGGCTCTCCCTATCCAGTTGCTCGCCTTGCGAGAAAGTCCCTATTCCTTGCATTCCACACTTATAGCGATGAAATTTCTTAGTAGGAAGCCCGTATACCTTCCTCCATTTTGGACCGCCAGCAGACTCCATCCATATTCTTTCAACATCCTCGTCCGAACGTTGGGTTTGCTCGCCCGATTCACCAGCTGTCTGAGTGCGGATGAATTCTTCCACGTTAGTACTGTAGCGACCCTCTACGAAAATTTAAATTGAATTAGTATATCAAAATTTATATAAAAGTAAATTAAAATACTTAAAGAAAAGTGAAAGCTTACATATACAATCGAGGTCCAGTCCTCGACCCACCTTTCTTTATCTGTCTCTTTCTTCTTTTTTACAATATGCGTCTCCTTGAATAGCTCATCATGGTTCATTGGACGCCCCAACTTCTTTTCCTGAAAACAAATTAATTTAGTTAATAAACAGAATAGATATAGTGATTTTAAATTTTGACCAATGTTGACCTAATAACCGACCAATTTTGGTCGATTATTTTTCAGAAATTAAAGTATAGCGACCAAAGTTGGTCGGTAATTTTAAATAAGATTTCTTTATATTTTATAACATATTTTAAATAATAATAATAATAACTATTAAATTTTTTAACTGGGTCCCACATTACCGAGTTAACTATTAAATTTTTTAACTATTAAATAATAACTATTTTATATAAATTACCGACCAAAGTTGGTCGGTAATGTGAAATTTTCTTTGACTAAACAAGTCTGACCAGCTCGGTCAACTTGTTGACCACTTTATCGACCAACTTTGGTCGGTAATTTATTTAAAATAAATATAAAATATTTTTCTCTCTTTTATCGACCAACTTTGATCATTTTTGGACCGTTCAATTTTGATCGCTAATTTTCGGATTTTTAGTAGTGTAATTTTCAACGGAATATTCTACTGTACGAATTGAATTCGTGGAAACAAACATTCTTTTACTATTTTATGATCCGATCCATAGAAAGAGTATGATTACGGTATCATTATTTAATATGAGAGAATGAGCACGACTACATACTGTAGTGATTGACAAGAAAGATCCTTTTTATGACTTAACCTATGAGTCTTAAAAAGTGAAAGATTGAGCATAGATATCTTTTGTGCAGTGTAGTGCACGGGATATCCCGTGTTCATTAGTGTGCAAGAAGAGGCGCACCCTTTAAGACATGTGATGTAGACAGTCTATTTTAATGCAAGTATTAATGATCACTTTTACGGCTCGATCCCGTGACCTATAGATCACAAAAATAATTTTAATATCACTCCAAGGCTTCCTTCAGCATATAGATATCTTCTCAAACTAAAAAAGTAATATTTTTAATTAAATTCTTTTTAATCCCATAATACATAATCGCATCTATTGATTTGGGAAATGGAAGAAGAGATATCCTAAAAACATGCTGTTGCATAAAGTCCATAATATTATCCGTACCAAGAGAAGACAAAAGGAGGAGGAGGAGGTGCTATATAAAGAGGTATCATATATTTACAAAATTGACTTTGCTTTAATTAGCTGGACTGGAATAAATGCATTTTCAAATATTCCAAACAGTACATCATATGATAAGAAGAAGAGTACTACATATTGTTCACCTTATCATCAAGGGATTCTTCTCTCCTAAAGAAAAAGGGTTTTATTTAGAAGAGAAAAAGGGTCGATTGCAACTTCGAAAGGCCACAAATATTATCACCTCTTTGGTCTTTTTATGGAGAAGAGGTACTAAATTGTGTGATCATTTTTCCTCAATTATTTTTCCTTTTTTCTATGTGGTAGTAAGCCCATACGTTGAGTTACTACTCGATATAAGGGCACGTGGATTCATGATTTTTTTACTAAATTAGGTATTTTATGTATATATTTCTTAAAATTGATCTAAAATTATCATGTTGGCTCACATGCTCCAAAAATGTGAATGATGCACTTGGTTGAATGCTGAGTTACCTATAAGAAAGGAATCAATTTCCACTTAGTATATTTTTTCTCCTTTCTTTACTAGCACACCCCTATTCTAGAAATTCTAGATCTGCATCTGATAGGAACCCTCTAATTAAGTGGTAGGGTGAAATATCACTAGTAAACTACACTTCTAAGGATTAACTCTAACCCTCATTGCAACACGCTACAGACTGTTGCGACTACTTCAAGCTAACTCTAACTTGAAAGATACAACTCAAGTACCTATAGTACAAATGCTTCTAAGAAAATCTGAAAGGTACAAATCAAAAGCTCATACTACAATTGAACTAGAATTAAAGACAGACACATGGAACTGGTTCTTCAATCTAGTTCATATAGCTGTAGGTTCACACCCTTGAAACTCACAGGAATTGCTCATAAAATGCGTTGCGATTTTGCTTTCGATTCTTGCTTAACTTCAGTGTGTGTGCATCTCCTATGAAAGAGAACAAAATGATATTTATAGAGTTAGTAAAATTAACTAGATGTTTAATGCTTTACTCTTCCTCGGTGGAAAAGTTCTAATTATCTTCAACTTCCAACTCTTTCCTCATCTTGGATAGAGTTCTTTTCAAGTAACGAGTCATGCTCCTTATCAAATATGCAATCTTTTCGTTCATGGATAAAGAAATAACCGCTTATACTTATCCCTTACACGTGCATGTTTTTTGCTTGATTCTGACTATAAAATGTGTACAGTGTTCCAGGGACCTGGTTCATGCATGTGTTCCTTTGTCAATCATCAAAACCAAGACCGCTCAGGTTAACAGGCGGATAGACTACCTAATATATAGGCACGTGGACCCATGGTCTTTCCGCCAAACCAAGTATTGTACGTGTATTTTTTTTAAAAAATTTTATCTGATATTATTTGTTGTCCTCCATGCTCCAAAAATCAAATAGTGCACTTGATTGAATAGTAAGTTATTTCGGTATAAGAATAGAGATCACTTTCCACTTAATATATTCTTTTCTCTTTTCTTTAGCTGTACACTCATATTCTAGAATTTCTAAATCGGCACATGATAGAAACTCTCTAATTAAGCGGTAGGCTGAAATATTATCACTAAACTGCAATTCTATTCCAATTTAACTGTTAATTTGTACTCTCATTAATGCATAAAAGACACTACGATCAGCTTCTATATCTCAAAAGAATTATGCGGCATGATTGACAATATTTTTCGTTGAAGTTGGAGGTGAACAATGAGGCTTTTGAAAGTTATAGAGAGGTACCCTTGCCCAGTTGCCCTTCACACTACTAAAGAAGGGGAAAACTCAACCGCCAAAATCGATTGATGTTGGTCGTTAATTGGTAAAAATTGACCGAAAATCAATCAATTCGTGGCGATCGGTAATTGTAAGGTCGGTAGAGTTAACCGATTGACTTTGGTCGGTATTTCCCTGTCGATTTCAGTCGGTCGATTAAATTCCAAAAAAGAAAAAATTGCCGAAAAAACCGACCGAAGTTGGTTGGTATTTTCCGACCGATGTCGGTCTGTATTTTAATTATGTAACTAAAAAATGCACCATATGAGAATCGAACCGGGGTCTGTACTGGCAAGATACTATTCTACCACTAAACCATTGGTGCATTTTATTTTAAGGCTGTCTTTTATTTCATCTAAAATCTTTAATTGTATTTTCGCGCGAAAATAACCGACCGATGTCATTATTAAAAAATA